CTCGGGTACCTGTCTTCTTAGACTCCAAAGCGGCTCTGGGAGCTGCAGCCCACGGGCGCGGCAGTTCCCCGGAATTGTCGCATGTCTTGCGCACTGCGCTGCCGCGCATCATCGGAGGCGTGTTGCACGCGGCGGGGCAGCGCGCGCCGACGGACGTTCATCGGGCAGACGACCCCACGAGGCACCAGTCCGTCCGACCCCCTCTCGAGCCCCCCCAGCGTGGCTTGAGGAGGCAGAATAGAGAAATTCTGAACGATTCGATTGCGTGGCCCAGGCCGACGCTCTCTTCGTACCCTACCTGCCTATGGGCGCGCCTCGTGGCCATGCTCGCGGCTCGAGGGGCGGGCCCGCTGGGCCTCCCCCCCGTCTCCCCCTCGGGCTCGGGGATGGCCGCCGCCGACGACGCCGCCGCGGAGGAGCCGGCTTCTGAGGCCCCCGGCGGCGGCGACGCGCGCAGCACAGGCCGCCGGTGACACCCCCCCGCTCCGCAGGAGAGGTGGGCGCAGGGGACGGCGCCGGTCCTCGGGCCCCCCCTGCGCCGGTCGCTCCCCGAGCGCAGCCAGCGTCTGAGCGGGCGGGCGGCGGCTCGCGCATGGCTGAAGACATTTCCGCCGCGGCGGGCAGCCGAGGGGCCCCCCTGGGACCCGCGAGCAGCAGTGGTCAGCGCATCTACGCCCGAGCTGCTGGGCTGCAGGACGCGCGGGTTGCCCTGCATGTCGCCGACGGGGCGGACCGCGGCGCCATCGACGCGGCGTTCCGTCGCGCGGCGCGAGACTGCCATCCCGACATTTCATTCGGCTGTGCGACGCCAAGTCGCTGCTGCTCAATTACGAGGGCACTCGTGCCGCTCTGGACGCCCAGAGCTCCTGCAGCGGGGGAGCCGCCGCGCAGGCTCTCGCCCGCGCCAAGGGCCGCGGCAAGGGGACGCACAAAGGCAAAATGATTGCCGGCCACTCCTTTGCGCTGTCCGCCCTGGACGCAGCGGTGTCCGAGCGCGTCTCAGCTGCGCGCGCCGAGCGCACCGCCTCGCGCTCGGCGCTGCACGACGCCTCGGACACCCCCGCTGCCCACCCAGCTGCGGCAGGTCCCTCCTCGCTCGCGCACGCTCAGTCTGTCGCGCAAACCGACTCCGAGCTGGTCGCGGTAGAGCAGGCCGGTCGCCCGGAGCTACAGGCGCGCTGCGACGCGCGGGCGGGCCTCGCAGCTCGGGCGCCATGCCCCGAGGTGCGCGACGCATCCGAGCGCGTGGCGGCGAGGCGCGCGAGCTGGCCGAGGGCATCGCGAGCCGTCGGCACGCGCGTCGGCTCCAGGAAGCGGCCAGTCGGGAAGCGCGCGCGAAGCGGCGGACGGCCCCCGCCCAGATCGCTCGCGACACTCGCCGAGTGCGGAGGGCACCGCTGCATAAAGCGGTCTGGCGCGTCGGATTCGCACGGCCGAGGAGGACGCTCCCGCATCGGCAGCGGGACGTTCGCTCGCAGAGCTGGAGGCCGAGCGCCAGGCCAACCCGCGTGCCAACGCGCACCCGCCCGACGATCCTGCCAGCGCCATGCCGCGCGGCGATCGACGGGCCGTCCGCCGACGGCTGGGGCCCCGCGACGAGGCCGTCGAGGACAGGCCGAACCTGGGAGACCATGCCCCGAGTTCGGGCAATCGCAGCGGGGCCCGCCGAAAGCAACGCTCGGCATCCAAGCGGCGGCGGGCGCCCCCCGCCGTCGCGCGCGGCTGCGCCGGCGCGCGCGCGAAGACCGCTCGCCAGGGCGGAGCGAGAGAGAATGCTCCCTTTTATTCTCTGCGACTCCCCCCCCTCAAGGGCATAACAAACGCCCCGACCGTGGTTTACGAGGCGCTGTGCGCTGAAACTCCTGCGGGCTGACAGGATAAACCCTGCGTGATGTGCCGCGTCCTGGCGGCTCAAGGCTTTGGGGGTTCCCAGGAGGTTTACAGACCACGCACTTGTATCCCAGGGTAGGGTCGTTTTTTCATCCCTCAACCCCCGCGGTCTGTGAAGCGATTTCGGCCCCCCTCCCTGCCCTCCACGACCTTTCTGAGGCGGATGGCGCACGCGCTGCGCGGCCGCCCGTGCGCACGGGGGGGGCTGGACCGTCTTGCCCCCCCAGCGCTCGCCAGCTGCGCCGCCTCTCGGCGGCCAGGAGCCCCGCCTCTGAGCGCGGCGCGCTGGCCCCCTCGCGCCCAGCGGCGGGTCTGCTCCCCGTCGCGCGCGAAGGCGCTGGCACGCGCGCGCGGAGACTGCCCGCCGGGGCGGAGCGATATCATATTTGTCCTTCCAGTTTGGGACAAGGCCGCGCGGTTGTTGGTTATGTTTCGGGTTTCTTTCTTCGCCCAGCCTCGAAGATGACCCCCAAGTCGAGGTCACGGTTCTTGTGTTGGTTTGGGTTACGGTTTCTTTCTTATTCGGGTTTGGGTGCAAACACCCGCGGCCACGGTTTTGCTTCTGATTGCGTTTCCGTTGTTTGTTTTTGTTCGCCAGTTTGGAAGAAAACGTTCTAGGTCCAGGTTCCGGTTACTGTTTTGGTCCCTCGGGTCACCGTTCTTGTCCCAGTTTTGGTTCTACGGTCGGGTGTTTTTTGGATAGCGTGTTTTTCTGCCGGTTTTGGCCCACCACGCTTCGGAGCGACACTCTATCCACGCCCCAATCCCCGAGCGTCAACGTCCCGAACTTTCCCCAGCCTCCGCGGAGCGAAACCACACGCCATCTGTTTGCGAGGCATAGCGCGTCACCGACCCCGCCGCCGCGACACGCAAATCAAAAGTTCTTGACGGTAGAACGTTCTGTTGTTCCTGCGGGATGACGGGCTTGACCGCGGGGGGGATGCCGGTACCTTCACGATTCGCGCCGGCGCCCTTTGTGAGCGCGTAGGCATATCAAAAAACAAGTATGATAGTACATGCTTATAGGGATTGTTGCGACGGCAGAGCGTGCACCATACTATGGGTATGCAAGGACGTGCTATGGGAAGCTATGGACAGCCAAGCGCAACGTCAGGACTGCTGATGAGAAAGTGTGGTCGGTCTTCTCCTCCCTCCTTCCTTTTCCTCCTCCTCCTCTTCCTGTTCCTCCTCGCTCCTCCCTCCTCCCTCGTCCTTCTTCCCGCCGTCGTCCTGCTCCTCCTCTCGTCGTCCTCGTCCTCCCCATGGTCTTGCACGGTGTTTCACACAAGGACAGAAGAAGGAAGGAGGGAGCTGGGACAAGGGACGGGGCGAGGGAGGCGGGGCCACACCGAAACGACCTGTTGGATTACACATTGTTCAGTCCTCATTATTCGAAAGTTCTTTGATTTCTGCTGGGGGGCCAAGATCCTTTCATTTCGAAGTGTTCCATCCTGGGCCTCTCCCTGGCCACCAGGGGGCCGGGAACAATTAGAAACGAGCACAATGAGAAATGAGCACGACTAGAAATGAACGACGTGCACGCTTCTGTTCTCGATTCGTGCTCTGGGAGCCGTCTGGGCGCCCCGGCATGGTCCTGAGGGGAAAGTGGCCTCGTCGTCCTCCTCATCCTCCTATCGTCGTCTTCCGCCAGCTCATGGCATTGGCATTATCCCTTGCGTCCCTGCCTCTTCAGGGAAGAGGAACCCACCAAAACGGGAGAGGTGTCCCGTGTGCTCCTTGCCAGGAAGCTGTGAACACGTGGCTTGGCCAGCCTGGGCGAGAGTTGGATGCATGTGTGGCCGCGCATTTTCCCATGGCTCGGCCCGCGTGTGGCTGAGTATGGCAGCCTTCCGCACGTGTACTCCAGATTTCGTAATAAAAGGGAGGGGGTCTGGACCCTCCAAGACAAGCCATTTCAGACCTCCCCCGTGGGAGAACCCTCCAAAACATCGTCCCCAGACCCCCCCAGGCCCTCCAAGATAGCCTGGAAGAGACCCCCCCCGAAATGAGACCCCCCTCCCTTTATTACGAAATCTGGAGTATCCAGCAACTGGCCCCCGCATGTTCCACATGTGATTCCAGCCGCGTGTGTTTCCAGCTTCCTGGGCTGCTGCAGGCGACCAGCTTGAGATGCTCGATCGTAATCCGATCAGTCAGACAAAATGCGCTGCATTCTTGATAAGGCTTGGTTGGCAAGTGGCCCGCGTGTATTCCACCGCTGGCAAACGATCAAAGATGGGGCCACCCTCTGTGTACCCACTTTAGCTCCGAGGAGTCCTGGGCTCTTTCTCGAAACCCTTCGAGGGGGGGGTCCGGCTTGACGAGGAATCGAAGTCACAATTCGGCATCCAACTGGCGCCAGGAGACCATCAATATGGCCAAGACAAGCCCTAGGCCACCCACTATGGTGCCCAAGTCGCTTCGACTCGCCTCCAAGACGGCCCAGGACGCGCCAAGAACGCTCCAAGAGTACCTCCAAGAGGCCTCCGAAAGGCGTAAATCCGTGATTCTGCATGGTTTGGCATTGATTTTAGCGTAGTCACCCTTCTTCGTCCTCAGAGCGTCGGAGATGGCAAAGTGGCGCCAAGAACGCTCCAGTCACAGCTCAAAAAGGTCCAACAGGGCCCTAAGATGCCCGAGCCTGGCCGGAATGCTATCACAGCGTCGGGAGAAAGCCCGGAAACGGCCCCAGCACGCCCCAGGAGGACCCCGAGATGGCCAAGATTTTGTTCTTTATCCATCCAAACAGTGCCAGTGCTGATCCGTGCGCGGATCAGGTCGGTCCTGACTTCTGGGACCGTGCCGCGCCTGCCGCCGTCAAGGTCTGTCCAGTCAAGGCGTGCCTGGCACATGAAACGACCCGTCTGTCTATCCGGGCAGATAGCCTCCGAGATCTAACGGTAAGTCGGGCATGTCCCTCTACAGGAGGAAGATTCGAAAATAGCCAAAAAATAGTCCAGGAACGATTTGTTTTAGTATTTTTGGGCATCCTGCATGATTGTTCTACTATGTTTGATGTTTCGTCCAAAATCCGCCTGTAGGGGGACAGGCCCAGCCTAAATCTGACACGTTCCGTCGCGAACCGAGTGATCATCTCGACAGCTCCGTGGGGAAAAGGGGGACAGGGGCCAAGGCGACGTTCAGTGGTCTTCGGCGGTGCACGTTCTGCGCCGAGTCGCAAGAGAGTCAGCTCGCCATACGCAGCTGCCGGGGCCCAGCCTGAAGGGCCCGGCCAAGCCAGCGCCCACGGTGACTCCGGCATCTCGGACGAGCTTGGCGGGTACCCCCCGCTCCGAATATGATTGTGGCTCTGCCATTCTTTCTTCCGCCACCCGAGCCAGACAAGAGTACAGCTCGCAGAACTGTTGCCACATCGCTCTGGCTTCAAGCGGCGAGGAGGCTCGTCTGCTGGTATGCCAGAGCACAGTGGCGAATCCGACTAGGTAACTTTTTGTCATTCACCTCAGTGTTTTTTTTCGCGGGATCCGTGGCGGATCCTCCTAGGCGCAGGGCAGCCTCGGATTTTGTGCCAGGATGCCTGCCACATTGGTCTCCCACTAGCCATTTGGGCTAGCCTCATGGCCGGCTCGCCACTGCAGCTCAGTGGTGGACTGTGATGATCAGAGCCCCGAATCATCAGGGGTATTTCGGGTCAGGGCTAACTCGGGTTCGTTTTTCGGGATTCCGAACCCGATTTATCCCGGACCCGAGTTACCCCGGATAATTCGGGCGTCCAGAGCCCAAAAATCATCAGGGGTATTTCGGGTCAGGGCTAACTCGGGTTCGTTTTTCGGGAACCCAAACCCGAGTTACCCCGGACCCGAGTTACCCCGGATAACTCGGGCGCCCAAGATGAGTGTTTTGAGGCGAAGGTGTTGGCTTGCTTATGGAGGATGGCTGTTGGCTCGTCCACCCTCTGCTGGCCAAGCTGTTTGTTCTGCCAGCTCTTCGCGGGCGACCTGCTGCGGACGAGCCACGCGCCCGGCAGCCGCAGCATTGTTTTGCCTGGGCTCTCTCTCTCTATCCCCTGCCTGTCCTCTCGCAGTCACGTGTGGAGGGTTTCTCCGAAGGGTTTAGGCGACCCGTCCTCCTCCTCCCCCTCCTCCTCCTCCTCCTCCTCCTCCTCCTCCTCCTCCTCCACCTCCTCCTCCTCCTCCTCCCCCTCCGTCCTCCTCCTCCTCCTCCTCCTCCTCCTCCTCCTCCTCCTCCTCCCCCTCCTCCTCCTCCTCCTCCTCATCATCATCATCCTGCTGCTGCTGCTGGCACGATGAAGGGAATGAACCCGAATCGTCCACCACGTGAATTAGGAAGAAGGCGGGGGTCACCCCATAAGAGCGCCCCCCAGTGCACAGTCGTGCTGCTGCTCAAACTCAACGAAGGGGTCCAGGGGGATGCAAAGCCCCCTTGCAGCCTCGGGCACCTCGGTATTTGGAACACCGAGCGGGGTCCCCGCGGGAATGTCCTCGAGGAGCACGCAAGCAAGGAAACAGCAAAGGTCGGATGGGTACTCTTTGAGCCCCGTGGTGAGGTGCCCAGTTCCCCCTTCCCGACGACCGACAGCTGCCACGTGCCCTCCAGGGTGCAAGCATATCCCCCCCCCGCCCCAGCACCTGGCAAGTCGAGGCAGACTCGGCGCATGGACCCTAACCAGTCGAGTTGGCTTCAGAAAGTCACACCCGAACATACACTGATCAATGCGGATAGTACAAGCGCACGGCAGGGAAGCGATCCAAGCCATCTCGGGGAGCCTCCAAGAAGACGCACCTCCCTTCCTCCAGGGTACCTCGGGGTGCTCCATGATGCAACACACACCTGCGCATGCACACGTGACAAGGAAGCAACTCGTTGCCCACGGCAACTTGACGGCGCTCAGCTGTAGTGAGACTTGTGATGCCCCACGGCGCTTCATTGCTGCGAATCGGCCTAGGTCCTGAAGCATAGGCCAGGGGAACACACCGAGCCGTGGAACGCGTTTCACACGGGGTCCGCACATCACCCCCACGACGAAACCTTGGGTAACTGACCCCAGCCAGTGCCTAATGGTGCCCTCGTCGCGGAGGTCCCCTCGAACCCGATCGTTCGCGACGTGCACGGATAACATCCAATGGGGACGCGCGAGCGGGGAACAAACATTCAGCTCTTCGATCCAACGCTGCAGGTCCCCCGGCCGACGCTGCCCCGAGAAAAGACGGAGCACAAAGACACATCCAAACCCGTCCCTCAGAACCGACCCCTCGGGAGGTGGCTCACCGTGCCCCTCCTCCGCCCCCCAATCGTAGTCCACACCCGGAGGGGCGACAACCGATGGGGGCGACCCAGGGGGGAGGCAAGGCAGGGGGACACGAAAGGCGGGGACAAGAGCCTTCTCCTCGTACACCCCCGCAGCACGCAAGGCACGGCTCCTCTTCGCATCCTCCTCTTTGAGGTCCACAGCATCCGCGACGCGCTCCTCCTCCTCCTCCTCCTCCTCCTCCTCCTCCTCCTCCTCCTCCTCCTCCTCCTCCTCCTCCTCCTCCTCCTCCTCCTCTCCCTCCCCCCCCCCTCCCCCCTCCTCCTCCTCCTCTTCCTCCTCCCCTCCTCCTCTCCTCCTCCTCCTCCCCCTCCTCCCCCTCCTCCTCCTCCTCCTCCTCCTCCTCCTCCTCCTCCTCCTCCCCCTCCTGTGCCCTGGCCCTCGCCCTTGCTACCGTCTGCCTCGGCTGCTCCGCCCTGCCGCGTCCGACGGCGGCCACGGGGGGGCGCCTGCTCGTCGAGCGGCGGGCCGCGCCATGGCCGAAGTCTTCGCTCCCCCGGCGGGCTGCGGGGCAGGCGGCGTCCATGGGGACAAAATACTCCCGCTGCCTCTTGCAGGGTGGTGCTGCGATGCTCGGCAAAGAGGGGGGTGATGACTAGGGGGGGTGGATATGATGGCGGGGGCCATGATATTTCCCCAGATTTCATGGCGCCTCTTCTTATTCCATTACGTCCCTGGCCCCCCCGCTGGGCCGCGCACATGCCACCGGTCATGATTTGCACCCCCCCCTCTTGGACACCCCCATCTTGGCCGCTCCCGAGATGCGTGGGCGGGTGGATCCTCCATCGCGCTGGCGGTGGCCGGGCACCTTTTATTGCCGAGGTTCGCGGGAGGGCCCCTGTTTCCCGGCCTCTTTCCTGGGACTCCACAGGCGGCCACGTCATGTGGGTTTCGTTGATTCCTCTCCCTGTTGTGCTTTTCTCCATGTGTCCGTCTGCCTCTTGCCTCTGTTGTTCCTCGTTCCTTCCGCACGTGCTCCGTCAGCCGGCGTGACAGCGCGGGCATGTTGTTTCAAGGCAATTTTGTCTCCGTGCGCTGCTACCCCTCGTTCTTCTTGCACGTGCTCCGCCAGCTGGCGTGACAGCGCATGCATTATATTTCGAGGCAACTGTCACTCCTTCCTCTGGCATTCCTCGTTTCTTATACATGTGCTCCGCCAGCAAGCGTGACAGCGCGTGCATTCTATTTCAAGGCAGCTGTTGCCCCTTTCTCCGTCAGTCCTCGCTCCTTCCGCACGTGCTGGGCAAGCCAGCGTGGCAGCGTGTGCGTTCTGATAAAAGACAGTTTCCTCTTCGTCATCAATCGTTGTCGGTTGCTCCTACATGTGATCCGCCAGCCAGTGTGAAAGCGCGTGCGTGCTGTTTTATTGCACCCCTCCTTTCCCTCTCCACTCTCCCACACCCCATTACACCCAATTTCACTCTTCCTCATTTCTCTACACTCCTCCCCTCCTCCCTACTCCACTCCGATCCTCGCCTCCCCAGTCCTACCCACTAAACGCCCCACCCCTCCCCATCCCTGCTCACTCCTTCCCAGTCCATCCCTCCCCACTCCTCCGCATTCGTTTGCTCTCTTTTTGAATCTACTTATCCTACTCCTCTCGACCTTCCCCACCTCTCTGCATTCGTCTCCGTACTCCACTCTCCCCACTCCTCCCCACGAGCATTCCCAGGGAAACCACATCGTATTAACCAAGCTGAAGCCACAGTTTATAAACGTTTTGCAGCTCCCACGTTCCCAAACCAGCGCCAAATCAAATTCAAGAAAACGCGAAGACATCCCAAGACCAGCAAAATACGGCCTCGACATCTAATCAGAAGGCCAGTCAGTGCCTCATTGCTTTTCAGCGATCTCCCCGACAAGCCCGCAAGCCAAGACTTGCATGTCGTGACAGCGATCTGGCAACCCTGGACAGCGCTATTGTGGCAAAAGACATCTGCCTCCCTAAGTCAGCACCAACACAGCCCCAAACCCAGTCCGTCCCCTCTGCTGCACGGCACCCTCTGCTAGGCAAACCCCTCCCCGAGTTGATTTGAAAATCCTTTTTGGTTTTGACATGTCCCTTCCCCCTGCACAGACCACTTCTGGTTGCACAGCACCATCTATCAGGCAAGGCCCCTCCTGAAGCTGATCGAAACAAATCCTTGGTGCTAGACGTGCCCCTGATACTTGTGTGAACTTCGCAGGCACCCTCTGCTGCTCAGCACCCTCTCCTAGCCGGTCAACCAGTCGCTCGGTCATCCCAGCTTTTGTCCTGACTCAGGATCCGCCGTATTTTGAACGATTTGGCAAGTAGGGCAGAAATGTCCACCCTACTGTTCCAGCTCCCTTGATGTCGATTTCCGCCCTAAGTTGCCGTCGCTGTTTCCGCCCTTCTCAGTCTTGCGGAAGTGTCCTACCTATTTTTGTCGCATCATGTGGTGTGCACGGCGGATATGGAGTCAAGGTGACGCCCACGTCAACAAGTCAATGTGTTAGTTCGTCGACCCCGGTCACAGGTCACCCGGTCGCCGCCCGGTCGTTCGATCTCCTCCTTTAGCCAGTCTCTTGTCACAAATTTACTATGTTTACATACATGTGAATATAAAAATGCTTATGTATATCCACATGTATTTACACACATACATATAAGGTATGAATACGCCCCCCCCCTCTCCCCACGAGCCAGGAACCTCGCCACCATCGGGCCCCGTTTTTCATGACCCCCTCCCCGGCGTCTCCAAGAGGTACCAGGAAGGCCCAGGAGGCTTTCGAGACGGCCTAAGATATCCCCAAGACGGTCCAAAGAGCCTCAAGACCGTCCAAGAGCGCCCCAAGAGGGCTCAAGATGGGCTCAACACGGCCCAAGACGCCCCAGGAGAGCTCCCAGAGTGTCCCCAAGAAAGCCTCAGGAGGCCAACAGCATTGATGTCATGTAGGTGTTTGAAGGATTGTATGTTTTTCGCCTTCGATGGCTTCCGACGGCCCAAGAATGCCCAATGGGGCCTCCTGGAGACCCCCAAGAGGGCGCCAAGAGTGGCCCCAGAGGGCTGCAGGACGGCCCAGGAGGATCGGCCATACTTAAGAATGACCTTTCGCCGGAGCGACCGTTGGTGCGGACACACTGGGGTCTTTAGATATGGCTGAATCAGATGCGACAGCAGCGGCTTGTGCGCTCCAGTTCGGCATCCCCGCGGCCCCCGAAGATCGCGCAGCAAAGGTCACTCTTGCTCAGGGTCATGGTTACGCGTAGCCGAGAGGGCCCCAAGACGCCTCAAGAGGGCTCAAAGAGAGCATATGCGGCCCGCACATGGCCCTCAAAATGGCCCGGGGGGGGGGCCCGGCGGCCCAAGAGGCACAAAGATTGCCCAGACACTTCCAAGATGCCCCAGCAGAGCCCCCAGAGAGCCCCCAAGAACGACGCCAGATCTGCGAAGCATTGCTTTCCCTTCGATGGCTGACAGATATTTAGTCTCTCGCCGCTGATGGCTTCTCCCAAGCAGCCCCAGGGGCCTCTCAGATCGCTACAAGACGGCCAGCGAGGCCTCCACGAGGGGATCCCGTAGCTACCGTATGCGCCTTCCTGGGGCCGCCATAGGCATTTGAAAAACTATGATACTATGATACTGGAGTTCCCCACATAAGATGTTACGGGGCAAGCGGGGTCAAGGGGGCACAAAAAGCAAGAACAGAAACCGAAGACCCGGGACGTGCAGATATAATGATACAGTCACGGAAGAGCCGACGAAGGCGAGGAGGGGAAGTAGCATTGAAGGGGAGGAAGGAAAAGAGGACCCATGGAACAGAGCACTGGCGTGGGTGACGGAGATGGTGGACGATCGAGGTGTACTAGTAGACGGCGGTAGGCGCTGGTGTTTTCATGCGCATGGGTGGGAGCTCCATTGAGGACCGAAATCCTATCAGAACCTTCAGGACAGCTTCTGGTCGCACTAGGTGCCTCTGATGGCTGAACATGGGACCTCAGTGGGCAGCGTGGTGGGGCCTCTGTGGGCTGCGTCTGCGGCCTCAGTGGGCAGCGTGGCGTGGCCTTGGTGGGCGCGCTCTGGGCATATGTGGACAGCGTGGTGGGGCCTCTGCGGGCAGCAAGGGGGGGCCTATGTGGGCTGTGTGTGGGGCCTCCGTGGGCAGCGTGGTGGGTGCTCTGTGGACACTGTCGGGTGCCTCGGTGGACAGCGTGGTGGGGCCTCTGTGAGTGCGATGCTTGGCGGGTCCTCCCTAGAGGCGGGAGGCGCACGAAACGTTGTAAATCGTATGGCATCCTGATACTCTCCTCGCCCTGGCGGGGCCTCCTTGAAGCGTGGGAGGGGCACGAAACTTGATAACGAACATGAAATTCCAATACCATCCTCGCTCTGGCGGGGCCTCCCTGGAGCAGTGGGAGGGGCACGAAACGTGATACAGTATACGGTATTCCGATTCCCTCCTCGCTCTGGCGCGGCCTCCCTGGAGTACTAGGTGCACGCGGAATCGTAGGAGGAGTAGGGCACGTCGGGTTGGCATTCCGATACCATCCTCGTTTTGGCAGGGCCTCCCTGGAGCGGTGAAAGGGGCACGAACCTTGATGAATAACAGGGTACTCCGATACCCTCCTCGCTCTGGCGGCTCCTCCCTGGAGTGGGAGGGGCACGAAACCTGATAGAGTAAATGGTGTTCCGATATTGTCCTCGCTCTGGCGGGGCCTCCTTGGAGCGGTAGGAGGGGCACGAGACTTGATACAGAATTAAATGCTCCGATGCCTTGATGCCTCCTGGGGCCTTCTGCAGCGTCCTGTGGCATCCTCAAGCCTCGTGGGATTCCTGTGGCTTTCGGATGCGTTCCGAGGGCTCCCGCTCGAGACTTACTTCAGGTTCAAGCTTGGGGTTGGGGTGGGGGTGGGGGAGACGGGGGGGGGGGGGGGGGGGGGGGGGGGGGGCAAAAAGCAACGCAGCTACAAGGTTTGGATGACCCCGCTCGGATTCCAAAATGGAGGTGGGCGAAGGCAGATTCAGGCTGGAGGGACCCAGTGACCAACATGAAGCGCGAGCCCCAAAGGAAGGGGGGGCGCTGGAGACATCCTCACGATGTGCCCCCTTGGGGCGCTCGAGTGCCATGCCTGGTAGGGTTTGCCGATGACACGCTCGGATTGCCAACACGAAGTGCGGGCTTCAATTCGTGGACAGACGAGGCCCCCGCTTGAGACTTCCTCATGATTCACCCCCTAAGGGTGCTCAAATGGTATGCTTGGTAAGATTTGCCGATGACACGCTCGGATTACCAACATGAAGTGCGGGCCCCATAGCAAGGGGCCCCCCTCCGGAGATTCCCTCGCAGTTCATTTACAGACGAGGCCACCGCGTGAGAAACCCTCACGATTTGCGCCTTGGGGTGCTCAAGTGTTATGCCTGGTCGAGTTTGCCGATGACCCGCTCGGATTACCAACATAAAGTGCGGGCCCCACAGGGAGGGGGCCCCCGCCTGACATTTCCCCGGGCTTCACTTACAGACGAGTATAATGAGGTCGTGGGGAGGGGGAAGGGGGGGGAACCAACATCTGACTCAATCGATCTCACTATTGATCTCACTCAACGGGACCCTACGGGAAGCCACGGGACACCACGGGACACTTGCCGATCTCACTATCGATCTCACTCACCACGGGACATTGCGGGACACTTCTCGCTCTCACTATCGGTCTCACTATCGATCCCACGATCGATCTCACTCAACGGGACACTACAGGACACCACGGGACACCACATCGATCTCAGTATCGATCCCACGATCGATCTCAGGATCGATCTCACTCAACGGGACACCACGGGACACCTGTCGATCTCACGATCGATCTCACTATCGATCTCACTTCTTGGGACACCACAGGACAACACGGGATACCTCGGGGCACCACATTGATCTCAGTACCGATCTCGCTATCGATCTCACTCAACGGGACACCACGGGACACCTGTCGATATCACGATCGATCTAACTTTTTGGGGCACCACGTGACACCTCGGGGCAACACATCGATCTTAGTATCGATCTCACTATCGATCTCACCATTGATCTCATTCAACGGGACACCACGGGACACCACAGGACACCGCGGGACACCGCGGGCAACCGCCAGACGGGCGGGCGGGGGAGAGTCATTTGTCTTGACTTCGCCCTAGCAACGGCGACCACCACGGGACACCGCGGGCAACCGCCGGACGGGCGGGCGGGGGAAAATCATTTGTCTTGACTTCGCCCTGGCAACGGCGGGCACCACAAGACACCACGGGACGCCACGGGACACCG